TTTATATATGTACACATGCATACATCAATGAAAAATGAAAAAAAATTATAATATTCTTAGAAATAGAATTTAAACTTAGGTCTAAATAACTAATGCAGGGAAACCAAAAAGGAAACATATCAAAGTCACATCATAGGACTTTATTCTTTCTTTCTTGGGATAGATGGTTCGTTTCTGTATTAGACACATGGTGATAGGTAGCAATGGTGAGGGCAGGGTGGTGGTAAGCGGTGGGTTTAGTGTTTTTCCAAATGTGGTTTCCAATATTAAATTGTAACAAATGTGTATCTTAGGGTGTGTTACACTTTAACCAATCATGAACAATCCACTCAAATTTAATCTGTGTCAAAATCTAAGATGGCAAACAGAGTCAAAGAAGTCTAGCCCAGGTTGGCCTGGTTGGCCTGGAACTTGTAGCCCAGGTTGGCCTGGAACTTGCAATGATCTTCCTCCTAGATGCTGAGGTTACAGGTGTGTGCCACCCTACCTGGCAAGTATAACATTTCAGGAAACTCGAGTGCATAGGTCATTCAGGCGTGAGGTGAAACTATGAATATTTGATAACTTACGATCTTAATAACTGTTAAACAAAAGATGAAAAAATGGGTGGCTGCTGGTATAGCTCAGTGATAGAGCTTGTGCTTAGCATGCGAAAGACATTGTATTCACTCACTAGCACCAAAATGAAATAAAACACAATAAAGTAAAATGGTATAAGAAAGGAAGAATATACACATGATATTTGTCCCCATGAATGTCTACATGAAAATATGATAACCATTTTTCATGTTACACCTTCCATCTGGCAGGCAGTGCTAAAATTTTCAGACTTCTCTATATCCACGTTTTTTAACATTTAAAAATACAAATAAAGGATGGAAATGAAAAACCAGTGTTGCTTAACAAAAACCACACAATAATGTGTGTTACCGGCAAGACGGATATATGAACACTTCTTACTTGATGCCTATGAATTCAATAGAAGCTATTTTTAACAGAGCCTTGCTCTCATCCCGTATCCCATCTTCTCCTCAGTTCACCCTTCTCATCATCGTGCTCTGTGTGCATTGATTTACATACTGTTTAATTGTGGCTTATTCTTAGGCATGTGCGTAATGTCAAGTCACTTCAGCTGCCAATTTGTTTTTTCAGGGGAACAAGTATTTCCTGCTTTATTAATATAACAACCTTCATCAAAGTTCTACTTTCTTTCTAAAATAACCTTATCAATTTTGTAATTTCTTTGCTAAGTCAGTTACATTAGTCTATCTTTGGAAATTTTACATATACATACATTTCTTTGTGTAGCAGGCTATGATATGCACTTGGTTCTTGATTTAATTATCATTGGTTTTGAGAAAGAATTTAAAGTAGACTCTGGAAAAGCTTGAAAACTAGGATCCACAAGTTTATCACTATTATTATTCATATTTGATTCTATATCATCTGCAGAAATAACCTCTACTTGAGATAAAACTACTCTGGCAGTTTAGATTTCTCATAATGCATATTACACATGTAACACGCTTTATTTACTTTGCATATAAATTCTGTACATAAATTTTCTTCTAAAATGAATTTTTCAGAGAAATATTATATTAATATTATATGTGAAAATCAGCACTGAATAAGTTCCAGGCTTGAGTCCCAGTACAGCAGTGTATAGCATTTTGCTTTTTGAGTTTGACTGAGTGATTGCACAGTCTGAGAAGTATACTGGTACTTCTCTCTCTGAAGTTACCTATCTATTAAGAAAGTTCCAATAGTTATCTGTCATTAGTTCTTTTGCTTTCTTAGAGTTATAGGTCAAGATGATTAAAATCATAAGTTTGATCCTTGTATAGTATGTTTGGATATTTGCCAAAAAATCACCTTGAATAGAGAAGACAAAAATGCCTTGATGCTTTGTGATGGGGAGAAAAGTTTTAAGAACCATCCATACAAACAAGTCTGACTTAATAATAACTTAAAAAGCCTTGCAGTATGGTGAGTTATAAGTTATCAATGATGCTACTGAGAGAGACAGAGATGTAAGAGTTAACTCAACAGATTTCAACATCAGTATTTAATACAATATTGAGCTTCAATAGGAAAGACTATGAAGAAAATGTAGAGACACTATTCTGTCGTGTACTAAATGATGAGACACCTGGATCCATGAGGCTAAGAGCAGTTCTTATGGATGAAATAGCAAAGTGTATAAAAGAACATAAATTCTTTCAGAAAATCATGCTTCTTAATAAAAAAGGATTAATTTGAAAAGATGAGCTCTAAAATAAAGTTAGAGAATATTTACAGAAAGTGAAAATTAATGATAAAAATATATAAAACAAGAATTTTTGGTGGGGTAAACTAAATGAGTGGTATAAAAATGAGCATTTTCATAAAGGAAAAATCAAGGATGTGGGGGAAAATCTCCGAAAATGGAAGAGTAGTAAATTTAGCAGAAATTAAAAGGTAACACTTTACCTATCATGTGGCTCACAGAGGTATCATGGACTGAAAATCTAAGTCATTTCAAGAAGACTTTACAAAACCCATGAACAGGGTTCCAACCTCTCACTGCAAATATTAACTGACAAATCACCTCCTTTCCATAAGTTGTTCGATCTTGTTATAGTAAGAAATTCATAATGAATGAGCTATGAAATGTTCTGTTAAGGGATTGAAACTTGTGAGCACAATCATGTTATCAGACAGAATGGCAGGGTGGGAAAACAGATGATTCATTAATATAGTCATCAAATCAGCATGACTTTTGTTTATAACACACTTGGTAAACGGTTAGAGTATCCCTACCCTGATGTTGTTAGCGCCATAACGAACAATTTTCTGTCCCTTGTAGTGGGAGCTTAGCAGACAGAACGACAGGATTCAGTGGGACTTTAGATGCCATCTACTCTAAGTCTGTCGTTTTATAGGTGGTGGTACTGAAAATACTGAGAGTTCATGATTCCCTACAATTTCATAGTCTCCTAGTGCTAGAGTGGCTGCATGTACTCCAGTGCAGTGATTTCTCCACAACAGTTCAGTGACATAGAGCATGGCTTTTATAATCATAGATCTGTAAAACCTCTAAGAATTCAGTCTTAATTGTAAGGCACTCACAGTTCACCAAACTTGCTCAACAGTGTAACTGTTTGAACAGATACACTCTATAGGTAAACACTTTTTCACATGCCCTGTGTTGAAGTAAGATAATGATGCACAAGCATTTTTTTCTTATTCCAGGAAATATTTTTTCATCCTAATAGTTCCTAGACAAATTAATAACTTGCAGGTCAACATTTTCTGGGAAAATGTTACCATTAGCAGGTATTTCTCACCATTAAATCTGTGGTACCTTATTTAACCACATCACCATGATTTGCATGTGGTTTCTTTCAGATAACTTTCAAGGGTATTCTGTTACAAAGTTTACATGTAGGAAGCAGCCTACAATGATATTTTAATTGTAAAATTCCTTAAACTTTTAAGTTTCTATTTTTATATTATTTGCCATTTTCTCTCACTGTGATCATGAATCTATTTATTTGCTTATTATACATTTCTTCTAGTAAAATTTAAATTTCTTAAGAACAAGGACTTTTTGCTTATTTGCTTCTTTTTGCTTTTCTTTTGTATCACAATCACTCTATACTGCATTTACTATATAGAAAGTACTTAACACAATTCAATTGATTGCATGAAGATTTAGCAATAATACAACTATTTATGTTGCAATGTATCTATAATACTTTCTAAATGAAATGTTCTATATTCTATTGGGGACATTAGAATTTTTAGAAATTTAGTTCAAATGACTGAATTTCCTAAATACTTTTATAAGAATTGTTCCAAATAAATTTCCTATGAAGAAAACTCACATAAGAAACAATTCTTAATGTGTAGTGCTTAATTTAAGTGGAAATAGGCAGAGCAATTTTATCTTCAATATCAATGATATTGGAATAATTATTTTACTCAAAAGGACACTTATAATTTAAGTAAGATCACACTTTGTACCTTCAGATTAATTAGAATGTACTGTAAAGTATTGTTTATATGAGAAGTTTTTTTTAAAAATAGTTTTAGTAACACTTAAAATGCATTAAATTTTTTCACCATGAACTGTTCAATAGCTATTACTTAGAGTATTATAATCTTGGGAAATGAGGATTGGATCTATCTCTGATTTAGATAGGCTATTATTTTTCCTGGCTTTTTCTCATGTTACTTTCCTCAGCAGTTTTGAAGTTAACCCAAACAAAACTTCTGAGATCGCAGATGAAGAATTTGGTCATGTATTTTTTGATGAGTTGGCTGTGATACCAGAGAGCTTTTAAATGATGAGTTAAATTGAGAAAATATGATTTTTTTAGCAAACCATGGCATGATACAGGAAAGAATAATTAAAATATAACCAAGACAATAACAACAAGAAAGGAAAACAAGATTTTCCCTAAATAAGCCTTCCTGTCTTACTGTGACTTCCAGCAGATCTACAATAGTTTTCCTTTCATAATAAGAACACAGAGAGTTGGAAGACATTCTAAAACACCATATGCTATTATTAATAATAACTAGACATTTCAACTTGTTTGTAAAAAATGATTGCAATTACTTTATACATAGAATGACAAATTCCTCTAAGTGATTTATTCTTATCTTTCAGAAATTATACTTTTTTAATAAAAGTAGGATGGTTATATATGGCCGATAGTTGAAAAGCTTTAAAAAAGAAACAAAAAAACCCCCATAGAATCACTTGTGAGGTGTAATGTCAATAAATTTTGGAATTCTAAAACTTAAAGTTTCTGTGCATGTGCTGCATTTGGGAACAGATCCACCCACTACAACTAGCAAAATATTTGGTCTGAGGGTAAGACCTTAGAGCTACCATGTTCAGGCCTATTTTAAACATTCTTATGTCCCAAATATTAGTGAGTGTTATTTTCTCAGCAACAAAATTCCATGGCAGTAACACGTTTTTATTATATTTTCTATAGTAACACATTTACCCAGGACCCACGGTAATATCATCCACTCCACGATGGTTGGTGGTGGACCTTGCCTGTTCAAGTCTGACCTGTCGATGTGCTGAGAGGCAAGCAGCAGCAGGAACAAAAAAGTCAAATAGGAGGCTGTGTGGCAGATAAACTTGATAAATGGCTTTCTGATGAACAGTCCAAGTGGGCTTTTAGGAGCTATCAGGTAGCACACAGAGAAGACAGGGAAAAGAAGTCCTATTATGAAACACGTCACCATCTTCACTGCCCAGTGTCTTCTCCTCCAGCCCGGGAACTCATCATACCAGCGAGAGGCGAGCAACTGTTGACAGTTGGGCTGGGCAACAAACTAAATGGAAAGGAAAGGAAGACGAAGAATAAGTCAGCGTTGCACATATTGGATTTGATTCTTCAGTAAGGACACAGAGCATCTGTTTAAAGACAGATGTTCTGTGCCACTTAATTTTAGAGACAGGCAATCAAAGTGTTTAAAGTCATTCTATGAATAGAATCAATTTATTAAACATTTGTTTTATGCATAGTACAGTGATACTCACTGAGCTCACTACAAAATCAGAATACTGCGGCTGCACTGGGGGACATGAAAGAAAACTAAGAATAGGAATATGCATAGAAAATGATGAATGAAGTATAAGTTTATGAAGCTATACACATCTACATACATAGCTAAGGATATTGAAAGACATGGTACTTAAAATGTTAATATCACTGTTTCTTGACTTAGTTATTTTTTCATTTTGACTTTACACTTGATTTTCATTTTGATAGATGAATGTACTTTTAACATTTTCTATTATAAACATGTGTTATTTTTGCTATCAAAATGCATATATACATTTAATTGCATTCATTCAATAATATACATGAATAATGTTATGATCAACAGAATGTAAATAATCATAACTAAATTGTTGGAAATGATCCCTAAGTATAATCAATTATACAAAACATTTCACAAACATCACATTATTTTATTCTAGTAACATGGTAGAGCTGTAAAATAGATATTATTTCTTTCTTTTAGGATGAGGAAAGCAGTGATTATAAGAGGTCTCCACACTTATCCAAGGTTACGGGTCTAGTAAATGATGAGATGTTTAAAATCTTGTGTAGAATTATTGTTTTGGGCATGCTACCTTTCTTATTGGACCTGATACCTCAGGAGTATAGGAATTAAGAGTGTGATTTCTTCTCCAGTTAGGATGGTCCAGGGAAGCTTCCCAGTAAGTACATATTTACAAAGAAAAAGAGGGAAGGAGGTCTTAGTCCATGGCCATGTGTGTGGGAAGAGGAGTAGCCTGCACTGATGAGCAAATCAGCAGTGTGTGAGAAAATTCTATGAGTAGTTTCAGTGGAAGAAAAAATTAAAACTCTTGTAAGAGATTCAAGAAAATTCTGTTGGGATAATGAAATAGGTTTAGTTAATAAGCAAACGGCATACTTGGTTCTTTCACAGGAGTTCAACCCTCCCAATATTTCTCATTATTGTTTTCCATTTCTTAGTCATATCTGGACTTCCTTGGAGTAATAATTTGCCTTTTTGCTTTTTTTGACATTACCCAAACAGCCCTAGGTAAACAGAAAGGACACCGTGCCTGAAGATGCAGAAAAAAATTAGAAGGCTTCTTAAAAGAGTAATTCGATGTTTGAGGTGTTCAGTAATGTAGATGAGATCACCTGTGATTTGTTATGCAACTGTTTCTCTTCATGTTGTTGTGTATACCTGCTCATCAAGGTATATGGCGGGGAAAGGAACATGTCATAAGTGGGACATAGTTTATGAGAGTGTGCTAAATTAGTACAGGTAAGTCAAAATAAAACACCACTTCCTCAAGGTAGGGTGAGCAGGGACTTGCTCTTCCTTTCCTTATAAGTAAATTTAAGTAAATTTTAAGCTCTATAATTAGTATGGTTACATTATATAATCCACAGAATACCTCTTCTTAAGACACTTTTTTTGGTCAAAGTCAGTCAATGGTGAACTCTTACCGTCTTGTCTAGTGAAACTCTGTATTATCTCTACTGTTTTATTGAAGAATTATTTTCTTATTCCCTATAATGGTTTGAGCAATCTTTCATTCTTACATCTGATAATCTGAGCAATGTAGTTGAGGATAGCGATATGTAATGTAACAATCACTGTTGATTCGTATTATTTTGTCTTGAGACTCTGTATCACTTTGAATGTTCGTGCTTTGATATGTTTATGTTTGTGATACTGGTATGCTGCTACTGTTCTATTTCTTTGCTTGTTTCTCATTTACTACTCTCTTTTAAAAAATGTTATTAAGATAAAAATAAACAGAAAACAAAAACAAAATTTAAAAGATTTCTTTCTTATATGTCAGCAGAATAGAGAAAAACAGTGATGTACATCAACAGCAAACTTTGTTCTTTTTTAATAATTTTATTTATTTTTCCACACAGTCCTAACCACAGGCATTCCTTAAACAACTTCTTGTCTATATCTTCTTTATACTTTTTCATTCCTCCTGGAAAAGCTTATTTATAATAGTAATAGACTTTAGTACAAATAAAATATCTTAATAGAAGACATTTAAAGAAACCCATGGGGAAAACACAATAAAATCTGCAATTGCTACTATATCACAAGTCTTTCCAAATTAATGAAAATGTTAAAAGACTAAATACTGATGCAAGTATAAGCAAAGTAAAGGCATGGAGTTTGTTCAGCATGATCTAGGTGAAATCTAGGACTCACAGATTCTCTGATCCTGGCCAAAATCTTGTGAGATGATAGAGCGCCACTGGTTTATTTTGACTTCTAGTTTTAGAAGTTTTAGTTCCTGATCAGTTACTCCTATCTTTGGGTCTCTAGTAGCACATCTTGGCAGATGTGTAGGGTGTAACAAAACCACACACTTCATCACCAGGGAGCAAATGACAAAAAGGAAGAGGCAGAGCCCCACAATCTCCTTTGAGCCCCACTCCCAATGACCTGAAAACTTCTCAGTAGGCTCCAACTCTGAAAGGTTTCATTACCTCCCACCAGAACCATGCTGCGAGCCAAGCCCGAGAAGCCATTGGGGGAAATAGAATATCTAAACTACAGCACATGCGCACAGACACATACCACCCCACCCCCTACAGCTCCACTGGTGTTAGGGGAAGTATAAGATCTAAGGAGAGAGAGAGAGAGAGAGAGAGAGAGAGAGAGAGAGAGAGAGAGAGAGAGAGAGAAAGACACAGAGAGAGAGACACACAGAGAGAGACAGAAAGGGAAAGAGAGAGAGAGGGAGAAGAGAGAAGAGAAGAGAGAAGACAGAAGAGAGAAGAGAGAAGAGAGAAGAAAGAGAGAAGAGAGAAGAGAGGAAGAGACAGTTTGAAATTACCTAAAAGAAACGTTTAATCCTCATGGAACACCCACCATTGCCAAGTACTAGATTAGCCTTGATTTTTACTTCCATATTTTCTCAGTGCTTTCTCTTTCATTATTGGAGAGTATACATTTGTTTTTAGCAAATGCATAGTGTACAGCATTTTATATTAAAGAATCAAGCAAGTTTCCAAAGTGTGTACCACATGTGTAGCACTCAGTTTTTATTATTTGGCTGTTCTTTCACTACAAATTTGCTTTAATAATAGGAATGAAATACCCCCAAAAGTATTCCTAAGGATAATAACAACCATAAATATTTTTATAATGCCTTGATGTTTTATTTTTCTACCACGTGGGCACACTAGCATTCTCTAAATTATATTTCATTAATTGATTTTTCAAGAAAAATGATTTTAGTGGTTAAATCAGTTACTAAATTAATGATTAAAAGTTAAGCTTTTATTGTGCGAGAAATTTTGGCCTTTAATTAAAGTACATCAAATCTGGGCTGGGGATTTAGCTCAGCGGCAAAAGTGCCTGCCTGGCAAGCGCAAGGTCATGAGTTCAGTTCCTGGTACTGGAGAAAAACCAAAAAAAAATAAAAAATAATAAATAAATAAATAAATAAAGTACATCAAATCACTTCAATTATCTCTTGTATGTCCCCTTCTCCCCTCCCTCTTTCCCTTTCTTTCTTTCTCTCTTCCTTACTTCTTTTATTTCTTCTTTTTTCTTCCTCCAATCCTTCCTTGTCTACTTTCTTTCATTTCTCTCTCTCTCTCTGTCTCTGTCTCTGTCTCTCTTTCTCTCAGTTTATTCTAATTATTTGAAGTAATATTCAACTTTCTTTCAATTCCCCCTGATAGATTTCCTCAGAGAATGAGCACCTGTCTCTCTGACAACACCTACTGGTGCATTCCAGAAGCCCTCTCTAGAAGTTTGGTCAGGTTGCCTGTGACACGATGAGAGCCTACACATCCTACCTCCTCTATGCCATTACACAGTGAGTCAGAGGAAGTGTCATCTTCTGCACATTGGAGGACTATTACAGGCAACCTAGATTGTAGGCCCTTCTCTTCCTCTAGTTGCCCAGTTCCTGCTCTTACATTAAAATTCATGCTAAAAATTATAAACATTCCAATTCAGTTGTGTGCCACGAATTTATAATAGATTCAGAGAAAAATACATTTAAACGCTTCCTCTCTTTCTCTTTCAACAACCTTTAAAACATTTTAAAAGCCTATTTTTAGGATTACTCATGGAATCATTGCTTGATATTATGATTACTTATAGAATCATTGCGCCATGGTATGGTAAATATTAAATGCACTGTGAAGATTACTGACTCTAATCTCAGTTTTACAAATAAAATGATATAAAAATTACTCAAAATTTTAAAACTCCAAAACATAAAGGCAACAAAAAATAATGAGAAAGCTGAAAAGTATTTTTTAAAAAACCATAATCTAACCAGGTGAAAGAAACCTCACAAACACACACAGAGAGATTCAAATATTTTTGGATATGAATAAAGTAAATTGAAAAAATTGAAAGATATTGCAAACATGATGATTAAAATTAATATGGATCAGGTTTATTTTGCATTCAAGTTTTCTTTATCTTTGCATTTTTATATGGTTTTCTAGTTTAAAATTTGCATCCAGTGTTCACACTGCAACCATACTTTCAATAAGAGCAAAGCATAGATTATAGCAAAATATTTTGTAGCATCTATTGACCTTGACTACATCAGGATTTTAATATATTGCAGGCTGATCATAAAGAGAGGTAAAACTTTTAGACTATTTGCATTATAGTTACTATGTATGGTAATAATTTTTTATGGTCTAATTTTTTTGCTCAAAAAAGGGCCACAAATTCATATACATGTCAGTTTCCTATAGATCTTACTGATTATTCCTTAGCAACTAAAAATAATCTGTATCTTTTGGGGTTTTATTTATTTTAACAAGAAATATTTTCAAAAA